TGGGCGGTGGGTTCTAGTGCCAGATGTCTTCTTCCAATCCAGCTCTCTGCTATGGCCTGGGAAAGCAGTAGAAGATGGCCCAAGTCCTTGGGCCCCTGCACTCGCCTGGGAGGCCTGGAAGAAGCTCCTGGGTCCTGGCTTCGGATCAGCACAGGTCCGGCCGTTGCGGCCAACTGGGGAGTGAACCAGAGGATGGAAGATCTCTCTCTCTCTCCTTCTCTCTACCTCTCCTTCTCTCTGTGTAACTGTGTAACTCTGACTTTAAAATAAATAAATAAATCTTTTTAAAAAATACTCATACATTATTAAAACAAAAATTCTGAATAAATTAGTAATAGAGGGAAAAATAAAAAAGAAAATCCATAAAAACCTACACCTAGCACTGTATTTAATAGTAAAACTCTCAAAACTTTCCCATTAAGAGTCAAAACTGTAGAACAATGTACCCTCTCACTACTTACTTTACAACAGTATACAGGAAGTCCTAACTAACTCTATAAGACAAGTAAAAAATGAGATACCCAAATTTGGAACAAAGAAATAAAACTGCATTTGTTCACAAAGACGATTATCCATCTATAAAATCTGAAGGAACTTAAAAAAAAAATCCTGGAAAAAACATTACAACATGATTTCAGTATACAAGATTAATATATAAAAGTCAATCACTTTCTTATATAGCATCAATAACAAGAAGAATTTGAAATTAAACCCACAAACCTTTAATAACAGCATTCTCCTAAAAGCAAATGATTAGGCATAAATTATGCACAAGATTTACATGAGAAGAACTAAAAAATTCTAATTAAAAAAGAAAGCCCATATATTCCAAGTTCATGAATAGGAAAATTCAATAGAAAGGTACTTCAAAACATACATGGAAAAATAGGATTGCAGTTTATTTTGGTGCAAGAAAATTTTGAAATCTATAGATAAGAGTGTTGTCAATATGTCAGTTCTTTCCAACTTGAGCTATAGATTCAATACAATTCCAATCAAAATTCCAACAAGTTATTTGTGGATACCAAAAAACTAATTCTAAAGTTTATTTATATAGGGGAAAGATCCCAAATAGCCCTTTTACCAACAGAGGAGAATAACCAAGTTAGATGACTGAGTCTACCCAACTTCCAGTTTTAATATAAAACTATAGTAATGGGGCCGGCACTGAGGTGTAACAGGTTAAGCCACTGCCTGCAATGGTAGCATCCCACATGCACTCCACTTCCAATCCAGTTCCCTGCTAGTGCGCCTGGGAAGGCAACAGAGGATGGCCCTGGCGCTTGGGCCCCTACACCCATGTGAGAGGCCCGGAGGAAGCTCCTGGCGCCTGGCTTCAGCCTAGCCCAGCCTTGGCCATTGCAGCCAACTGGGGGAATGAACCAGTGGATGAAATATATCTTTCTATAAATCTTTCAAATAAATAAAATAAATCTTAAAAAAAAACTATAGTTATCAAGACAGCATGGTATTGGCAAAACAATACACAAACAGATCAATGGAACAAAATAGAGTGAAGTAGACCTACATAAATATAGATAAGTGATCTTTAACAAAAAAAACAAATACAATTACAGTGGAGAAGAGTCTTCCACAAAAGACACTAGAACCAATGGATGCATGCACAAGGGGGAAAAATGACTCTACATGCAAACCTTTCACCCTTCACAAAAATCAACCCTAAGTGCATTATACACTTAAATGTTAAATTCAAAATTCTAAAACTCTTAGAAGATAGAATAAGAGAAAATCTAGATGTCTTTGGGTATGGCAATGACAATTTAATAAATAAAACCAAAAACATAACCCATGAAACAAATAATTGATAATCTGGGTATCACTGAAATGAAAAAGTTCTGCCCTGCAAAAGATACTAACTAAATAACAGGCAGACAAGCCGTAGACTGAGAAATGTCTGTAGAAGACCTATCTGTTAAAGGACTATCCTCCAAAATACACAAACAACCCTTAAAACTCGGTAAAAAACAAACAATAAAATTGTTAATTGGGCAAAAGATATGAATAGACACTTCACCATAGAACACACACAGATGGCAAACAAACATGAAAAGATGCTCTACAGCATACGTCATTAGAGAATTGAAAATTAAAGAACAGAATACTATTACATACCTATTAGAATGAGGAAAATCCAAAACAATGGCAACAACAAATGCTGGCCAGGATGTGGAACAAAAAGAGGGGGCCCGAGCGGCGCTGCGGCTCACTAGGCTAATCTTCTGCCTTGCAGCGCAGGCACACCGGGTTCTAGTCCCGGTCGGGGCACCGGATTCTGTCCCGGTTGCCCCTCTTCCAGGCCAGCTCTCTGCTGTGGCCCGGGAAGGCAGTGGAGGATGGCCCAAGTACTTGGGCCCTGCACCCCGTGGGAGACCAGGATAAGTACCTGGATCCCATCATCAGATCAGCGCGGTGCGCCAGCCGCAGCGGCCATTGGAGGGTGAACCAACGGCAAAGGAAGACCTTTCTCTCTGTCTCTCTCTCTCACTGTCCACTCTGCCTGTCAAAAAAAATTTAAAAAAAAAAAAAAAAAAAAAGAGGGGCCTGAGGTGTGGCCTAAAGTGTTAAGTCACTGCCTGTGATGCCAGCGACCCATATGGGCCCCAGTTCTTAGCCAAGCTGCTCCACTTCCAATCCAGTTCCCTGCTAATGTGCCTGTGAAAGCAGCAGAAGATGGCCCAAGTGCTTGGGTGCCTGTGCCCATGTGGGAGGCCCACAGGAAGCTCTTGGCTCATTGTCGCTCCCCCTCTTCGTGGAGGAACGACACAGGACCCTGCGCTGTTCTTTTGTCAGCTCGGCCCTCCCCGGGTTTGCTGCTGGTTCTTCCCGGGTTGGCTGCCGTCCCTTCCACCTCCGTGGAAGGGCGGTTCCCCCTAGCCACTTTCCCCACTTCCGCGGGGGAGCGGCACACCGCCGGCCGGCTCTCTCGGGGGCTGCTCAGATGTTCCTCAGGTGTTCCCCTTAGATGTTCCTCTTTTTACAAGTCCTTTCTATAGTAAAGTTAGAATAAGTAAACAGCAAACTCCCAAAGCAAGAACGAGTAGAGAGAAATGAGAAAGAACGAAGTAACGAACTTCCCCACGAACTCTCCAACGCACTCTCCAACCAACCCACACCACCATGCCGTCTCTCTCCTCCTATATAGTCCTCTCCACCAATCCGTGCTCTGCTACCCACACGCTGAGCGCGCTGCTCTCCTCCAATCAGGAGCAGCTCCTGCAGCTTGTCAAGTTGGTGAGAGGCAGCTGGGTAGAAGCTGTTTGCTCCTCTCCCAGCGCCATATTGTGGGAGAGCAGATGTATAGAATAAGTCTTAATTCCAGTAACTTAGTCTAGTCCGAGTTGCTCCCAGTTGCTCCCCACAGCTCATGGCTTCAGACCAGCCCACCCAGCTCTGGCTGTTGCAGCCATCTGGGGATTGAATCAGTAGATAGGGTATATGTGTGTGTGCGTGCATGTGTGCGTGCGTGTGTGTGTGTCCCTCTCTGCCTTTCAAATAAATAAATACATATGTTAAAAAAGGAACTTTTATTTTTTATTTTATTTATATATAGTTTTTGGAAGACAGCTTCTTAAAAACTAAATCTACTCTTCATATAAGATCTATTAATCACACTCCCTGGTGTTTACCTAAATGAGTTGAAAACTAGGTCCGCACAAAAATGTATACAAGAATGCCTACAGCAGCTTTATCTCTAATTGTCCAAATCTGGAAGCAACCATGATGCCCTTCCATAGGGGTAAATAAACTGGGGCACATCCAGGCAATGAAATATTGTTTGCATTAAAAAAAAGGAATGAAGTAACAAGCCATAAAAAGACATGGAGAAATCGTAAATGCTTATTACTAAGTGAAGGAAAGCCAGTCTGAAAAGACTGCATACTGTATGATTCTAACTAAATGATGTTCTGGAAAATTAAAACCATGTATAAAGAAGCAGTTGCCAAGGGCTAGAGGGAAGACAGATAAATTAAGAAAGCACAGAACATTTTTATGACACTGAAACTATTCTGAATGGCATTATAATGGTGAATGCATTCCTATAAACAACTGTCAAAAACTCATACTATGTTTAACACCAAAAGTGAACCCTAATGTAAATTACAGACTTCTATCAATAATGTCAATTCATCACTTCAACCAAGGTACCACTCTGGTACGGGTGTTGATAGTAGGTAGGGGAAATTGAGTGAGGAGAACTAGGGGTACACTGTCATTGTCTTTTCCAAACAATTTGGTCTTGAACCTAAAGTGCTCTAAAAAGGAAGTGAGGAAGGGAAGAAGGGGGGAGAAAAGGAATACATAGCAGGGATTAAACACGGCCTAAAAATGTAAAATATTTACTATCTGAATCTTCGTAAGTCTCCTGTATCATTCTCTAGGATAACCAACCATTAAAGAAAGCTAAAAAGATGGGGGGAAAGGAGGGCGTTTTGCACAGCAGTCATGTCACCACCAAGGACACCCACATCCCTTATCTGAACACCTGACTTCAGAGTTCTGGCTCTTCCGCTTCCGATGCAGCTGCGAGCTAATACACTAGGAGGTAGCAAATGATGGCTCGAGGATTTGGCCCTACCACCCATGTCTGAGACCTGGACTGAGTTCCCACGTTCAGTCTGCCCAGTCCCAGTTGTTGCAGGAAGGTAAGAAGTCAAACAGTAGAGGGAAAATCTCTGTCTCTGTCTGCCTTTCAAATAAAATGAAAATTAAATTTTAAAAATTATGTTTCATAAAAAAGGAATTTTTTAAAAGATGGGAAAAATATTTTTAAACTAAAAAAAAAGGTGGGAAAAATTTATATACCTCAAATGTTCTGTAACAGGGTTTCTCAAAGGACATTTGGCAGGGGTAGGGAATTTTCTTTCTGCCAAAGGCCATCTGCATATTTATAACATCATTTGCAGGTCATACACAATTATCAACTTAAAAATTAGACTGCCATATATTTATTGCATTTCAAGTCCCACCTGTAGTTGCCTTGTCAGAGATAAACCAAATGACTTTGCAGGTCTTTTCCATCCCATGCGCAGGTATATGCTCCATCCATTTTACAGCACATAACTCTTTGTTGTTGGGCTATCTTAATCAATATTCCTGGTCTTCACACATTAGGTGCCTAGGACACCATTCCACCCAGTTGAGAAAGCCACATGTCTCCACATATTGCCCTGTGCACCCTATCACATCCCTTAGTTGAGAGCCACTGGTCTAAAGAAGAAACATAAGAAGGAACCTAAAATAAGGAGGAAAATAGAAACAGTAACACAGTAGATTTAAACAAATATACCACCAATGCATTAAGGTATATGGAATAAATGCTTCAGATAAAAGACAAATTTAAAAGAAAAATCAGTACCCACCTATATGCTCTTTTTACAAGACACAAACAGGGGCCAGCACTGTGGTGCAGCAGGTTAACGCCCCGGCCCAAAGCACTGGCATCCCATATGGTCACCGGTTCTAGTACCAGCTGCTCCACTTCCGATCTAGCTCTCTGCTATGGCCTAGGAAAGCAGTGGAGGATGGCCCAACTCCTTGGGCCCCTGCACCTGAGTGGGAGACCTGGAGAACGCTCTTGGCTCCTGGCTTTGGATCGGCGCAGCTCTGGCCATTGCGGCCAATTGGGAAGTGAACCATCGGATGGAAGACCTTTCTCTCTTGCTCTCTCTCTCTCTGCCTCTCCTCTCTCTGTGTAACTCTGACTTTCAAATAAATAAATTGTTAAAAAAAAAAAAAGACAAACAAACATAAGGGCACATAAAGGTTCAAAGCAAAAGCAAAGATGTTTCAAACATTAATTAAAAGATAGCTAGGGTAGGCATTTGGCCTAGTGAGCACAGTGGGAACTGATTAAAGCCGTTGGATGGGACACTGGGATCCCACATGGGAGTACCTGGGCTTAAGTCCCTGCCCCACTCCCAACTCCAACTTCATGCTAATGCACACCTTGGAGGCAGCAGATGATGGCTCAGATGATGCCACTCACATGGCAGGGACACGGAGTGAGCTCACAGCTCCATGCTTCAACCTGGCCTCATCCAGGCCATCACGGGCATTTGGGGAGTGAAGCAGCAGATGGGAGAGGTCTCTCTTGGAACACAATAAATACATACATACACAGATAGATAGTAGGGGGCCTAGCAATAGGTGTTTGGCCTAGCAATTAAGACACCACTTAAAATGCCTGCATCCCAAACTGGAGTGCCTCTCAGAAGAGATTTATAGAGATATAGATAGAGATAGAGACAGGGATATACAGATGGTAGGAGGTGGGCAGTGGACCTAGCAGTGCAGACACGGACTAAAAGGCCTGAATCCCACATTGCAGCGCCTGGGTTTGATGCCTGGCTCCAGTTCCTGATTTCAGCTTCCCACTAATGCAGACCCAGGGAGGCAGCCATGAAGGCTCATGTAATTGTGTTCCTGTCACTCACATGGGAGACCCAGCTGAATTCCTGGTTCCCAGCTCTCTCTGCCTCTCTGTGGTTCTGCCTTTCAAATAAATAAATCAATCTTAAAAAGAAAATCTCAGCCCAGTGTTGCGGCCTAGCGGGTTAAGCCACTGCCTGTGATGCTGGCATCCCATATGACCTCCAGTATGTCAGCAGCTCCACTTCCAATCCAGCTCCCTGCTAATGGACTGGGAAGAGCAGAAGATGGCCCAAGTGCTTGGATCCCTGCCACCCACATGGGAGACCAGGATGAAGCTCCCAGCCCCTGGCTTTGGCCCAGCCCAGTGCTGGCCCCAGCCATCTGGGGATTGAACCAGCAGATAGAAGACTTCCCTCTCCGTAACTTTTTTTTTTTTAAAGACTTGTTTATTTATTTGAAAGGCAGAACTACAAAGAGAGGGAGGGAGATACAGAGAGAGAGAGATCTTCCATCTGCTGGTTCTCTCCCCAAATGGCCTCAACAGGGAGCAGACCTGGTTCAAAGCCAGGAGCCAGGAGCTTCTTCCGGGTCCCCCACATGGGTGCAGGTGCCCAAGCACTTGGACCATCTTCTGCTGTTTTCCCAGGAACACTTTTATGGAGCTGGATTGGAAGTGGAGCAGCCATATGGGATGCCAGCATTGCAGGCTACAGCTTTACCCAATACAGCGCAAAGATGGCCCCATGACTCTTAACTTTCAAAACTAATAAATAAATCTTTTTTAAAAAAACTCATTTTTTTAGAGATCAAAATTACATACAACATCATCTCTGATCACAGTGCAATTAAATTAAACTAAAACTCAACACTAAAGGATAACCAGAAGAAGGACTGGTGCTGTGGCACAGCAGGTTAAGTCACTGCTTACAAATACTGCATTTCATATTGAAACATAGGTTCAAGTCTCAGCTTCTCCAGTTCCAATTCAGCTCCCTGCTAACGTGCCTGGGAAAGCAGCAGAAGACTGCCCAAATTCTTGGGTCTCTACCACTCACACAGGAGGCCTGAACAGAGTCCCACGTTCTTGGCGTCAGCCTAGACCCATCATGGCTATCGTGGCCATTTAAGGAGTGTACCAATGGATGGAAGATCTATTTCCTTTTGTCTCTTCCTCTGTCATTTTGCCTTTCAAATTAATAAATATATATCTTTAAGAGAAAAAGGACAACTAGAAAAACCACAAAACAAAAAATATATTTCTAAATAACTTACATATATGATAAAGAAAATTTTAACTTATGAAAAGGTCACAATATAAATGAGGAAATATCTACATCTAAAGGAAAAGTTATAGTACAAATTAAAACTTATGGAATAAAGACTTTGCATCCAGAAAAACGGAAAGAGTCATACAATTGCCTGTTACCAACCACTAATATGAGGACATCTGAAAAAGTTCATGGAAAACTGGAAATATAAGTTTGGATTGTTGCAAAAAATTTTAGAATACATGAATAATTTTTTTCTTTTTTTGAAGAGCCCTCCATGCATGGATTAAATACCTTCTTTGCATCAAAATAAGCTTATCTTCTAATTCCATTTACTACGAACTTTGTGAAGTACCCTGACACAAGTCAAAGTTCTGAGTATTAAATATATGATAAACATCCGAAGACTAAATAATGCAGACCAGCAGGCCTAGGACCTTGGGATATAACAACAGAGTGGTGAGTGTCCTAGGCTTTTCTTTTTCACTTATCTCAGACTTGAAGCCAAAGAAGCTAACAATCAGGAAACACCAAATGATTTTGCAAAAGATCACTCTCTAGCCAAAGGAACAAGAAAGGGCAAGACTACCAAGATAGAAAATTTTTAGAGAACTACAATCCAGTCCATCAAAATACTATAGAAAAGGGGCCGGTGCCATGGCTCACTTGGTTAATCCTCCGCCTGCGGCGCAGGCATCCCATATGGGCCCGGGTTCTAGTACAGGTTGCTCCTCTTCCAGTCCAGCTCTCTGCTATGGCCCGGGAATGCAGTGGAGGATGGCCCAAGTGCTTGGGCCCTGCACCCACATGGGAGACCAGGAAGAAGTACCTGGCTCCAGGCTTCAGATCCGTGTAGCTCCGGCCGTAGTGGCCATTTGGGGAGTGAACCAGCGGAAGGAAGACCTTTCTCTCTGTCTCTCTCTCTCTCTCTAACTGTATCTATCAAATAAAAAAAAAATACTATAGAAAAGAAAAGAAAAAAGAATGTAGCCCCAGCCCTGTCCACACAAGTAAAGACCAGTAATCTGTACAAGAAGATGGAGTACAAAGTGGGACTTTATATTCACTGAACAACAATGAAGCCCCACATTCCTGCAATATCACTGGAGATCACGTAGGAAACCTGAAAGCTGACCTCCACCAACAGTAAGGAAGAGCACCTACCCCATTCCACGCAAGTGCAGCCTCAGAAGGCCTAGTGGAAAGTTAGCACGGGCCCTGTGACCCCAGGAGTAACAAGGCGACCCTCTCCAGATTATCACAGGAGATCACATGGAGAGCAAGAACTCCAAGTTACCCAGCGGTAATGAATACTGCACCCACCTCGGGTATCAAACAGGCCAACTGGGGAACCTAGACTTCTACCCACACCTGGCACTAACAAGACAGCACTGCCTCTTAACTGGGTCAGAGCAGTTTAAGAAAAAGCTGGGTAAACAGAAGGGGTAAACAAGATCAACAGTCTCATAAAATACCCAAAATGTCCAGGTTTCAATAGAAAATCATGAGTCAAAACAAGAATGAAAAAGATTTCAAACTCAATAAGACAATCAAAACATAACATCACCAAGCTCAAAGAAATGTTCCAGTTATCTCAGAGATTTCAAAATAGTCATGATGAAAATACTCTACAAGTTACTACAAAAAGCTTGAATAGGAGTGAAAAGTCACAGCAATGAAATACAAGTCTAAGCAAAGTATACAAGATAAAAATAAGAAAAGAACCAAGTTTAAAAATTTTTTACAAATGACAATCTAATATCTATGGCTATTTATTTGAGAGGCAATGAGACAAAGACAGAGAAATAAACAGAACTCCTATCTGGTGATTCACTCGTCAAATGCTCACAATGGCTGGGGCTAGGAAAAGCTGAATTAGGAGAAGAGAGGAACTCAACCCAGGTCTACCATGGAGGTGGTAGGGAACCAAATCACTTGAGCCATCACCAATGTCTCCCAGGGTCTGCATTAGCAAGAAACAGGAGGGGAGGGGAGGGGAGGGGAGGGGAGGGGAGGGGAGGGGAGGGGAGGGTACAGGTGAGGAGGGGAGTGTACAGGTGAGGAGGGGAGTGTACAGGTGAGGAGGGGAGTGTACAGGTGAGGAGGGGAGAGGAGGGGAGAGGAGAGGAGGGGAGAGGTGGGGAGGGGAGGGGAGGGGAGAGGTGGGGAGGGGAGGGGAGGGAAAGGAAAAAAGAAAAGTCCTTGGGTCCATGCACCCACTTGGGCTATTGGGGCCATTTGGGGAGTGAACCAGAGGATGAAAGACTATCTGACTCTCACTCTCCTCTCTCTGCCTCTTCCTCTCTGTAACTCTTTCGAATAAATATTTAAAGAAAAAAAAGGAACGAAACAAAGAAAAGAAATACAATATCAGGTTTGTCAGGGTCCCACGGCCCCTGTTCCAAGGTTCCTCCCTACAAACTGAATCTTTGGCTCCGTCAGGCAGAAAGCTAGATATGAGCCCTCCAGAAGAAGGATCAAGGACCCTGCTTCTCCACCTGAGCCCACCAATACCACCCACTTGGCAGCATTACTTGAGGTTGATGCATCCTGACAAGATGGGAACTCAGCCAAACAGAAGTCCACTTTATGGCACATGCACACTAAGACCCAGGTTAATATCAGAGTGAGCTTACTTCACCTTTCTCTCTGTCTCTTTTCTAACTCTGTGAAAGAGAAGAGAAGAGAAGAGAAGAGAAGAGAAGAGAAGAGAAGAGAAGAGAAGAGAAGAGAGAGAAGAGAAGAGACGAGAAGAGAAGAGAAGAGAAGGGGAGGGGAGGGGAGGGGAGGGGAGGGGAGGGGAGGGGGAGGGGGAGGGAGGGGAGGGGGGAGGGGAGGGGAGGGAGGGGAGGGGAGGGGAGGGGAGGGGAGGGGAGGGGAGGGGAGGGAACCCAATGAGACAGAATATTAAAAAGGAATCAAGAGGCCGGCGCCACGGCTCACTAGGCTGATCCTCTGCCTTGCGGTGCCGGCACACCGGGTTCTAGACCCAGTTGGGGTGCCGGATTCTGTCCTGGTTGCCCCTCTTCCAGGCCAGCTCTCTGCTGTGGCCAGGGAGTGCAGTGGAGGATGGACCAAGTACTTGGGTCCTGCACCCCATGGGAGACCAGGAGAAGCACCTGGCTCCTGCCATCGGATCAGCGCGGTGCGCAGGCCGCAGCGCGCTGGCCGCGGCAGCCACTGGAGGGTGAACCAATGGCAAAGGAAGACCTTTCTCTCTGTCTCTCTCTCCCACTGTCCACTCTGCCTGTCAAAAAAAAAAAAAAAAAAAAAAAAGGAATCAAGAAAGTCTACATGAAATATGGGACACTATTAAACAACCAAATATTCACGTTATAGGTACTCCTGATGGAGGAAAGAAAAAAAGAAATTGAGAACTTGCTAAAAGAAACAATTGTTGAAAATTTCCCAGATCTTCAAAGAGATATGGATATCCAGATACAAGAAGCTAAAAGGGGCCGGCACTGTGGCACAGCCGGTTAATGCCCTGGCCCGAAGTGCAGGCAATCCCATATGGACGCTGCTTCGAGACCTAACTGCTCCACTTCCCATCCAGCTCTCTGCTATGGCCTGGGAAATCAGTGGTAGATGGCCCAAGTCCTGGGGCCCCTGTAACCAAACGGGAGATCCAGAAGAAGCTCCTGGCTCCTGGCTTCAGATCAGCACAGCTCCAGTCGTTGCAGCCAATTGGGGAGTGAACCATCCGATGGAATAACTCTCTCTCTCTCTCTCGCTCTCGCTCTCTGCCTCTCCTCTGTGTAACACTGACTTTCAAATAAATAAATAAATAAAGAAGCTAAAAGACTCAACTAAAAAATTAAAGAGAGAATCCTAAAGACAGTAAGAGAAGGGCATCAAGTTACATATAAAGAAAAACCAATTAGATTAACATCAGACGGGGCTAGAGCTGTGGCACAGTGGGTTAAAGCCCTGCCCTGAAGTGCCTGCATGGTTGAATGAGAAGGCCATCCCAAGATGGCCGCTGACAACAGAACCTGCCTGGCAACAGGCTGTGATTGGATGGCTTCAGAAACCACATGACAATGGAGCCTGACTGGCAACAAGCTGTGATTGGATGGCTTCGGAAACCACATGACAACAGAGCCCGCCTGGCAACAGGCTGTGATTGGATGGCTTCAGAAACCACATGGCAATGGAGCCTGCCTGACATCAAGCTGTGATTGGATGGCTTCAGAAACTGCCTGGCAACAGGCTGTGATTGGTTAGGGCATAGATCACCCCTTGACCAGGTTGGCTGCCTTGGCTATTTAAGCTGCTATACCAACTGAAATAAACGAGTCTGCAGGCTGCTCGCCTCTGGCCTGCGTTCTCCTGGCTCTCGGGGTCTGTGTGGTGACTCCGTGCCTCTTGCCCCCACCATGCTCTTCCTCTCAGAACGAATCCACAACAACATGCCAGCATCCCCTATGGGCACCGGTTCAAGACTCGGCTGCTCCTCTTCCCATCCAGCTCTCTGCTATGTCCTAGGAAAGCAGTGGAAGATGGCCCAAGTCCTTGGGTCCCTGCACCCGAGTGGGAGACCTGGAGGAGACTCCTGGCTCCAGGCTTCAGATTGGTGCAGCTCCGGCCATTGTGGCCAATTGGGGAGTGAACCAGCAGACAAAAGACCTCTCTCTCTGTCTCTACCTCTCTCTGTAACTCTTTCAAATAAATAATAAATCTTTAAAAAAAAAAATCAGACTTCTCAGCAGAAACCCTACAGGCCAGAAGAGTGGGATCACATATTCAAGGTCTTAAAAGAAAAAATAAGTTTCAGCCAAGAATATTATATCCAGTGAAGCTATCCTTTAAAAGTGAAGGAGAAAT